TCTTGCGGGGATAACCTTCGCGGTCTTTTATAACCGGGAAGATCATCTTGTAATATTAGATTCATTTCAACCCCTACTTCGAGCGTTTTCTGCAGCTTATAATTTCGAATCAGATTCTCTGTCACCTGCTTATATTGTATATTCGTGATATGGGATAAATCTACCTCATGCTCCCCCACTCCCAACTTTAGCCAAATGCCTGAAGGCTCTTTCTGGGACTCTTCCGGGTATCCTTACTTTACCAATTTTTTTGCCGGATTTTTAATAAACCAGGTGTCTTTTTTCGCTATTACCTGGAATATTTGACTTTTCTCTGCTGATATTTTCATGCCCCGACCTCTCCAGGTATTTCTGAAGCTCGTCCATCTGGCTTTGTGCCTCCCTCTCATCTTCGTCAAGCAAGACGATATCGTCTGCGAAGGCCAGCACAGAGGCTTTGTTCCCTTCATTTACATTAATGCCACCGATATTCTTTTCGATTACTTCAAGCAGCGGCTCGAGACATAAGTTAAACAGCAGCGGTGATAAAGGATCACCCTGCTTGACTTCTCTGAGAATTTCTACCTCGACCCCTATATTATTATTCGTTTTGATCGTAGTTTTACATCCTTTGTACATTTCATTTATAATTTCAATTATAGGGGTCGGAACGCCTTTTCTCGCCAGACACGGTTTTATAGCTGAATGGGGTATAGTATCGAAGGTCTTAGAGATGTCCACTATTGTGAACACTCTCCTTCGATTTCTTTTACTATAATTTAAGGCTGCGTTCATTAGGTCAATATTGATTTTGCATCCACTTTCGGATGTAAATCCTTTGTGCCTTATATTTTGATCTATACACCGTCTTAGCCGCCCATCGAGGATTGATGAGAAAATGTGGCCTAGAATTGGACCAATCATAATTGGTCGCCAGTTCTCGACCATATTTCCATCTTTATTAGCCTTTGGTATTAAGGTTGTCCTATTTTCCTTCCGTACGGTCGGAAAAATAGGAACTATACCATAATATATTAAATAACTTTGCTAATATTATCGGCAAGCCAGGTATTTGCAGATTCTCCTTTGTTGAGATTATTCGATGTGTAAACAGAGAAAACACGTGGATAAATTGTAAGGCAGAAAATATATTTAAATAGAAGTGTAATAAGTAAGAATACAATTTGAGCTGGCCCAGATTCGCACGCTAGCTATGTTACCCAATAACTAAAAAACCTCGAAGCCAACGTCGCCTGTCTACTGTTTATGGCCTGACTTCGTCGCAGTCTTTTGTCTACGCGTTGTCGATAGCTTCAGTGCTTGAGAAAACTAAAAAGACCAGATGTAGAGTTTTCTTAGAAGTGGTAACCACTTCAACATCCTTTAATAGCCCGTCTGGCCCTGCCGCTGTCTTATTTCTAATTCTTTTTATTTTTCCATCAATTTCCTCAATGGCAACCGGCATAAAATAGTTGTATAAAGGCAGCTCTGAAGCTATACTTCCCAGAATTTCTGGTAGCTCCCGCAAACTCGTTAGCGTGTCACCGATTAGAGCGGAAGTAAGGACAGGGGGATCCTTCGGCTCGGATGATATGGGAGTCAGTGGGTGTGAATTGAGAATGACTTCAATTTCAATAAGAAGGATGTTAAGATGCTCAAAAGTCAAGAATTCCGTGCCGACGACGCGAATGAGATGGTGTTTGAAAGATTTCACCGCGGCTTCCCATAAATCGCCAAACTGTGGTGAGTTAGGAGGATTGAAACGCCATTGTATCTGTCGATCGGCGAGAAAACTCTATACCCTTTCCTTGTGGTCGTCGGACTGCAATAGAATCCGAAGTTCTTGCAATTCCCGGTTAGCCCCGACAAAATTGTCTGTTACCAGACCATTGTCTGTAAGGATGGTTGCGCAGTATCCTCGTCGCGAGATGAATCGTCGTAGAGCGGTCAGGAAGGCGTCGGTGGTTAGATTGCTGACCAACTCTATGTGGACAGCCTTTGTTGCCAGACAGACGTAAATCTTGACATTACGGCGGTTGCGACCCCTCCTTTCCTTGATATAGAATGGGCCGCAGTAATCGATTCCAACGTTCGTGAACGGACGCGATTCGATAATACGCGCCTCTGGCAAATCACCAATCAGGTATTCTACTGGTGGAGGGTTGGCTCTGCAGCAGCGGACACACCTTTTGATAGTGCGCCACACTTGGCTACGGCCGTCGATCGGTCAATAGCGCAGTCTCACCGCGTATAGTGTAGCTTGTGTCTCTGTGTGATGGTTGTTCCGGTGTTCTTGATTTATAATGAGCTCTGTTACAGTGGATTTCGGCAAAATAATTGGGTGTTTTTGACTGAAGGGTATAGCTGAGTTGGTTAGTCGTCCTCCGATTCGTAGTATCCCATCTTCATCGAGGAAGGGATTTAGTGGCAGTAGTTTTCCTCCAACGTTCCTGCTTCGATTTTTCTGGAGTGTCCGAATTACAGTCACGAAATGACTGGATTGCATTATTTTGATTAATTTGTTGTGTGCCGTAGTTAATTCTTCTGTTGTTAGATGGGCAGATCGGTTTTGTTTATGTCTCCATCGGAGACACCAAACGACGACTCTTATTAGTCTTGTCCAAGACGAATATCGGTGCAGGATTGTGTTATCGTTGGTATTCGTTGTTAGACAGATCGTCTTTTTTTGTTCCGGTATTTCTCCCAGCGGTGTGGGGATCCAGATCGGCCAGTTTTCCTCTTGTTGCTTAAGCCATTCGGGTCCGTTTTTCCAAATGGTCGGACGCAAGAATTCTTTGGGAGTCTGCCCTCGGGAGATTAGATCCGCTGGGTTGTCGTCGGTGGGCACATGACGCCATTCGGCGATGTGGGTCACGAAGGTTTTTAACGTGTGTGGCGAGGACTTGATCCACTGGAGCACTATAGTGGAATTAGTCCAATACACGATCCGAGAAACATTTATAGTAAGTGATTTACTTACCATGGACATTAGCGAGGTGAGAAGCAATACTCAGCTTAATTTGAGTCTTGGGATAGTTAGAGATTTTAGCGGCGCCATTTTTGATTCATCCCAGTCGATTTTTAACGCCCAGCCGCGTTGAAGTAAGATTTTTGCTCTGACAATCACTGACGCGAGCAATCCTATTGGATCATAAATTCGGGCTATTACCGAACTAATTGATCGTTTTGTGACGAGTGGTGGTCGCTGTGGGTTCCACTGAGTAAAGGATTGCGTTGTCCTGGGAATCCCAATAAATACCTAATGTTTTTAAAGTTTGTGACTTACCTAATTGTAGTCTTCGATTTGTGTCTTTTTCGGATAGTCCTCGCAGTATGTCCTTATCGTTAGATGCCCATTCCCGGATGTTTAAACCGGCCGATCTGAGAAGGTCCGTGAGTTCGTGTCTCATCGATAATACTTCTTCCTTCGTATCAGCCCCGGTGAGGGTATAGTGTATAATTAAGATAAAAACAAGAAACTTGTCAATTTCCGAACAGGAGATCGAGTTCTTTTTATGTTTACTCAATTTGTACAGTATTATGTTCGGTTCGCGATGATATACTTTTGATACTTGGGCTAGTTGAGAATTTTTCAGACTGATTGGATGATTTTGAAGGGAGCATTTATATTCTTTTATTCGTTGGAGTGGGAGAAGGCTTTGCTCGTACTTATCATATATTTCGGAGAACGGCTAGAGTGACCGAATGCCACCCAAGCGGCTGAGAACGGATGCTGACCGGACGGTCACACGTGATAAGGCGCACGGAATTTTTGTTTATCATATGGCTGCTCGAATTTCACCTGTGACATTTCCCTCTTCTTAGATTGAACTTGGTCCCTCAAGTTTTCTTCAGAAGACTTTTGTGGAATCGGACTTTACGTGGCTTGAAAATTACAGCTGATTCGTCCTCTTCATCTAGGTGGTATGTGTTGGTTGGAATATAGATGTTGGGTGTCGAGGCCAGGGTGCGTGGTACTGGCTGTCGCTGTCGCACTGTGGCTGTTAATTGCGGTTTTATTTCGGCAGCAAAATAGATTGATACATAATTTGTTCGGTATACATTTCCTGATGCATTTGAATACCCCTATTATGTTTAATTCATGTATACGTAGTATGCCTAATGCTATGTACCCTAATATCTGGAGCGTGGTTAGTCCCCAATACTCTATCTTTATTACTCTATCTATCTTATCGATCGTGGTTTTATAGCCTTGTAAATTATCTATTATCTTTGGTGCTCGCTCGAGTTTACTAACAGATGAATGAAACTATCGTTTGTTTTGAGCGCTAGGGTTTTTGTTTTGATTTCGTATTTGACTTCGTTTTCTGTTTCGCCTATACGCATGTGTTCATCTTTGTACAATATATCGCAAGAAGTGTTGGCTCTTATGATGGAAGCCTTGTCAAGTTTTTGCAATGTATGTTTCGTTTGGTAAATTGTGTCTATTTCTATCGGATTTGCTGGTATCGCAATGTAGCAGTTGCTAGTTTTGAGCGGTATAAAGCTAATGTCTTCAATCTTAAGTACAGTTATTTGGCAATGTTCAATGTGAGGTTTGAAGTTTATTATTTCGCTGCGACAATCGATTCTCGAGTTTCTGTCATGGATTGACAGTGTTTGTTTGCATATAATGATTCCGGCTCGATTCTTAAAAAGTTTGTTGAAGTACTCGATATCAGCGTTTATGAATGAAAGACCAGAGGTTAAATATATCTGATGTTCGACTACTGGAGCCAAAAATACTCCATTTCTCTTACTCGGGATAGGATATACCTGTAATATGTTCCATTCTGTGTTAGAGACTAAAGGTACTATGATTTTGAAAAATATTTTGTCATCTATTGTGAAGATTTTAAGATTACTGATGTCGAGTATATATTAAAAATGTTCGATTTTGGCAGAAATCGCGGTGCTGTACATCTGGCTACCTATTGCCTTGGCGTAATTTTCTATAAATTCATCGGGTGTTGTGACGCACAACTTACTAACAACCAGTCGGATGGCAACTGATCGGTTGTTTATCGCGAGCCTTGAACGTTATTAGCGTCGATGCCCACCACTAAGAACAGTCGCTCCAATTTAACTCTGTTCGCTGGCAATATTGGATATTGCGGGGCTCTGGCTTGCATTCTGCGGCATATTACACATTTCCGGATTGCCGCCTTCACCGCAACTCTTCCATTGATCGGCCAGTATGCTTGTCGTACTACATGTAGAGTTCCTTGCACCCCGCTGTGACCCTGTCTGATGTGTGTCTCTCGAATAATCAGATTAGTGAGATGATGCTGTGGAGGCAGAACGGCGGGGTGTTTCTGTTCGTACCTCAACCCTGAGTGGGCGAGCCTGCCGCCGACTCTGATTATCCCCTCTGCGTCTAGGAATGGGCTTAACGAGATTAGCCGATTTGATTTGCTCGGTGGTGATGTCGCACGTAAGTCCTGCATTTCGGTTGGAAAGGCCGTTTTTTGCAGTAAGCGTATGATTCGACAGGTAGCTTGATCTAGTTCTTCTATCGTCAGCTGTCCTCTTGAATGCTGCCTGGTGTTGTTGGCGAATCTTAGACAGTAGGCGACGACCCGTGTGAATAATGGGAACGAAGAAAACCTTTCTAAGATTTGAAGATCAGTCGGTGTGCTGGTTTGTAGGGTTATTACCCTTCGTTGTTCCGGTATTTCGATAGGTGTGAGTTCCTCGCGTGGCCAGGCGTCCTCTGATTGCTCCAGCCAGTGAGGTCCCTGATACCAAGTCTTGTGGTGTATGAGGTCGTCCAGCTCTGCGCCTCGCGATAGGGTGTCTGCCGCTTTGTCTTCTGATGGCTCATATCGCCACTGCTTCTCGGTGCTACCTTGCAAGATTTCTGTCACTCTGTTCGCTACGAACGTTTTCAGTGTATGTGGTGGTGTATTGATCCAGTGCAATACTATGGTAGAATCGGACCAGAGGATAATTTTTCGAAATGTAAGGGTCAATGCTTTGGTAACGCTTCGAACTAATTTGATTAATAATACTGCTGCGCAAAATTCCAGTTGGGGTAGGGTTTGCGTCTTCAATGGTGCTATTCTGGACTTTGAGCATAGCAAACATGTTTGATGTCGGTTGGTGTTGTCTGTGCTACGGATGTAGATGCAGGCTCCGTACGCCCGTTCACTCGCATCTGCGAATCCGTGTAGTTGCACGTCGACGGTATCAGCTATCGTGACCCGCCTCGGGATGGTAATTCGGTGAATCCTTTGTAGTTGAGCTTGGAAGCTCGTCCATGCCACCTGAATGTCCCTTGGTACTACCTCGTCCCATTCCACGTGACCTTTCCACAGCGCCTGTAGTATTAATTTTGCTTGCACTATTACCGGTCCGACTAGCCCCAACGGATCGAATAGTTGAGCGACTCTTGCGAGGCTCGCCCTTTTCGTAACCTTGTGAGCTTTCGTAGGTTGGCTGGAGGAGTATTCCAACCTATCCTGGGTAGCCGTCCACTGTAGTCCCAGTGTCTTCGTAGTACCCTTATCATCCAGCGATAGGTGGTTCGACTGATCTGACTTCCTGCGTAGTGGCGCCAGTAATTGGGGCTCATTGGAGATCCACTGCCGGAGTTCGAATCCCCCCTTTCTGGTTACGCCGATGAGTTGATCTCGCAGCGCCCTTGCTTTCTCCAAAGAGTTTTCTCCTGTCAACAAATCGTCGACATAGAAATCCTGTGTCAGTGTCTGCGCCGCCATCGGGTAGTTTGGTTCTTCGTCTTGAGCTAATTGGTGTAGAGTGCGGACGTTGTTCCGTAGGTCACCGTGTTCAGTCGATAGGTTCTTATTGGTTCATTGATGTCCTCTCTCCACAAGATTTTTTGATACGGACGGTCATTGGGGTGCATGTTTATCTGCCGATACATCTTGACGATGTCCGCTGCAAGTACGTATTTGTACGTTCTAAATCTGAGAAGTAGGCTACCGAGGTCGTCCTGAATGGTGGGTCCTACCATGAGAAGTTCGTTTAATGAGTTTTCGGCCGATGATCGGGCAGACGCATCAAAGATGACGCGCACCTTGGTGACGCTGTCTGACTTGAGAACGGGGTGGTGTGGGAGATAGCATCCATCACGTGAGTCGTTCGTGAGTTCGGACATGTGACCCAGGGTCTCATATTCGCGCAGAAATTCATGATATTGTGTCTTGAGGGTCGGCCTTTGCTGCAGGGAGTGTTCTAATGAAAGGAACCTCTTTAGGGCTAACTGGTAGGTATCCCCCAGCTTGGCTCTCTCGTTCTTAAAGGGCAAGCGGACCTTGTACCGGCCAGTTGCCTCGCGAGTTATGTGGGTCACGTAATGCGTTTCACACGCTTGTTCCTCTGGGGACCACCTTCTCCTGGACGGACCTTCTTCGATGGTCCAGAACTTGTGTACTTCCTCCTGTAATGCTTGAAGTGTCACGTGTCGGACATTTTCGTGTATCGTGCAGTGGAATTGATCCGCGAATCCGGGCCAATCTACGTACGCTCCTGAAAAGGTCGGTAGCTGCATTTTCGGTATAGCAATCCCCGGATACCGAGTGCGATGTGCACGGTACGATGGGCGTATTCCTGTCTATTGCGTCTCTGCTCGGTTCCTTAGCTCGCTCAATTATATCGGTGGCGCGTCCTTTACAGTCTAAGAACTCCTGTTTAATGTCTAGTCGCTCCTGTATTGTCTGTCCCTCGTCTATCTCGTCTAAATCGCATTGATGCTTTTTATATGTTACCTATTCGGCTTCCAAGTCTTCTAACATAAATTGAACGGTGTTTAGTGATCCCTTTGCCTCATGGTTATCAGGGATCGTTCGAAATCTCGCCAATTCCTGTTTAAATACTTCCCGCTTCTGTTTCAATTGTCTTATGCGTTCTTCCTGGTTAGGGGCCATGGTGGCTTGGCGCCTGCTAGCTCTGATAATTTACGTAGGTTCGGCGTCCGAGGTGCTTCGCGACTAACAAGTGTGCGACTTACCTTAGTCGTGATAGGCCTACCTCGGCTGTTCGTGAACGCCGGTTACGGTGCAACGGGATGTTGCGTCGTATACCTTCTGATGAAGCTGATTCCTTCCCGATGGCGACACTCTGTTGATTGTAGCTCGTGGATTCTGATATCCTCCGGACCGATGCTTCCTCCAACGGCACCGAATCCGGCTAATATTTTGTGTAGGTTCTTGTGATGAAGGTGATTTCTTCCCGGTGGTGACACTCTGTAGATTGTAGCTACCTGATTCTGATTTCCTTCGGACTGATGCTTCCTCCAATGGCACCAAATCCGGCTCGAAGGACCATATGTTGCAACGCACAACTTACTAACAACCAGTCGGATGCGATGTAGCATAAACTAACGCAATTTTGTAGTTTATGGGTTTTTTCCGTGAGGTCCTAAAGTACTTGGTCTGAACAATAGGCCCACTGTTTATGACGGGTCCGCATTACGGTACCCTTGACGGTCGCCCTGATTGAGGCTCGCGTCTGGTGATCATGCCGTAGCGGTACTTACCAGGCAACCCCCCGCCAAATCTCGAACATCGGGGTCGAGTATTTGTGGACTAATTGTTCCTTGTTTGCCTAATATCATGACGTTAAGTATTTCATCTAATTGGAAGTGTAAAGTTTGTATCGCAGTGTCGAGTTTCATGATCATCTTAAGCATAAATCTATCAATATTTGCCTGCCGTTGTTGTTTTAATATATCGCTATGTGATTTCTCTAAAGGGTTTAGCTTTTCTGAGTTTACAATTTTTCTAATAAGTGCTTGATTGTTAAGTTGATTCGCTATTATAGTCTTGATTTTATTATTGTCATCGAATAGTTTGTCCATATTCTCGTTTATGAGCGTAAGATCGTCATCGTCGAGAGTTCCGAACAAACATTTCCATACGGAACCTATGATGTTGAGTAAACCTCGCGTGCTTCGGGTATGTGTTAACGCTTTTAAGTGTTTTGCGAGTTGTTTTAGGTTATTGATACGATTATGTAATCCGTCTAACTCTTCAGCGTATTCTTTGCTGATTGCATGTAAGTCTATTGTTAATTTATATGATTCTATTGTGCTGATCTGCTCGTATATGTCGCTAGTGTCTAATCCTACTATAACATTGGCAATATCGCTGTACAAATATCCTTTTCCTATGTTTTCTACGAATACAGAGTTTCCTTCTAATGGTGTAATATTTATTTGCGCGAATACTATTCCGGCAAAGAGAAGCGTCGACCTGGAAAGTAAGGTTTTAAACGATTACCGTGTATCTTTTTGTCTTGAATCAGATAGTACGGAGTACATACTTTATCAATCGTGTATGGTCCTAACCATTCCACATCAAGTTTATGCCTTTTATGATCGTTATGTACGGAGTCTCCTTCTTTGAAAACTGATTGAGGCTTTATAATTTTACATCTTTGATCGCGCTGATATCGCTGTTTACTTTTGATCAATGTTTCGCAAGCGTGCCGGAGTCTAGAGTCCCATTCTTTTTGCGGAACGTGACTTCGTCTGCGTATGTGCGTTGGGGATTCTTGGATATTGTGGAGGGAAGATTGGCTTGGTGTCCGAATGTGAGTTCGAATGGCGTGTAACCAGTGGAGTTGTGTGTCATTGTGTTATATGCAAGGCATACAAAGTTAAGTTGATCGTCCCATTCTTCATCCGAATTTCGCTGTATCGATTTTAACATGTGTGTTACTACTGCGTGTGTCCGTTCTAAAGATCCGTTACTTTGTTCTGCTATGTTTGATTTTGAACACGTCTTCGTACTGTTGCATCAAACTAGATATAAAATTCTGTCCGCGGTCAGTTAATATCTTTTTTGGAGCGGAAAAGATGTAAATATAATGATTCAAAAGTGCGTTCCAAATTGTTCCCGTTTGCTGAGTTTTTAGTGGCACGAGTATTAAGTATTTTGTCAGTTCATCATGTATGGATAGAATGTACTGATTGCCTTTCTTCGTCTTTTTTAGTGGGCCTAAATAAGCCCATAGCAACTTTATCGTTTGGATCGAGGGGTGTGTCGATGATACAAGGTTCTTCGTGCGGTCTGATACGTGTAGTTTTAGATGTTTGTCAGGTGTCGCATGATTCTATATGTTGTTGTATGCGTTTAGGATAAATCGAGGGCTGAGAAAAATTTTAATTTTGCGTTGCCTAGTTGGGATGCGTTTAGGATAAATCGAGGGCTGAGAAAAATTTTGCGTTGCCTAGTTGGGATAGTATGTCGTCTATGTCAGGTAATGGATATGCGTCCTGGTCAGTTAGCTCGTTTACTTTTCTGAAGTCTATTACAATTCGCCATTTCTGTTTCCCTGAGGCGTCTGCCTTTTTTGGTACTACTCAGACTGGTGAATTGTAAGGAGAATCAGATGGTTCTATGATGTTCTTTTGTAGCATTTCGTCCATTTGTCGTTCGATTTCTTCTTTGTGGCATTCAAGCGGTCGGCAAGATTTTGTGTTAATGATTTTATTTTCTTTTAACGTTATTGTGTGTTTAGCAAGGTTAGTGCATGGTAATAAGTCGGTCTCTAGATTGAATACGTCGAGGTAAAACAGTAATATCTTTTCGATTGGTTCTCTATAGAGAGTTTTCTCTATATGCGAAAGTCAGACTAAATCTTTCAACGTGGAGACTTGATCGTACGTGTTTGAATTTTCGACAAAATTGGTCATTTTGGCTGGGCACTCACCACCATTGATAAAGCATATCGTTGTCGGTTTTCCTTCCAGGTAGACTGTTTTTGACACTGCTTGTTTTGGAGATACGTCGTTTTTCTGTTGCAATAAAAGAATATTATTGCCAAGTTTTAATTGTTGATTGGAGAGTTCAAATTTGAATTTAGATAGGGCTGGTAAACCGAGTATGCCGTCTTCTATAATTGGAAAGTTGTCTTCTACCACAAAGAATTCCAGAGTTTTGCCAAATAGTTTTACCAAGGCGTGTTCCTTAGTTTTAAATTTAGAATGTCCCATCGAGAATTTTCGTTCTTTTGTTATTCTTGGTCGTAATACGCATCTTCGCTTGAGTATGTTAATTTCTGCTCCGCTGTCAACGAGGAATTTATGTCGTTGTCCATCGAATCGTAAAAGTACTGTGGGTAGTCTTCCTGTTGTGGCGTTAATTCGTAAGTCTGGTCTATTGGTTTCTCTGTTTCTTCCTTGTGTGTCTCGAGATTGTGGACTGCTGGTGGTCTCGGAAATTGGCCGGGTGCTTGAAAATTTCTAGATTGACTGGATACATGTCCGATCTGATTGCATTTGAAGCATTTTAATTGTGTCCTTTGGGCAAGTGGTATTTGTTCAGTTTGTCGGAAGCTTCTTGGCATTGGACTGGGTGTTGGAGTTGGTTTTCTAATGATTGGATTGGGATTATTGATTGTTAGTCGTCGCTGCTTAGAGAGTCGTAATCGTTACATTGGTTTTGGTCGTCGATTTCTATCTTCCCTGAAGAATCGTTCTCGATGTCGACGGCTTTCTTTTCGGCTATAGTGGATTGGCAAGTAGTAATTGCATTGTCCTATTTTGCTTTTCAGGCCTCGAATAAAATCGATTACGGAGTCTCTTAAAATCCTGTCGTTCATAGCTCGTCTAGTAATTTCGTCACAGTATTCGTTCGTTATACTGTATTGTAGCTTATTGAGCGCTCTGCGGAACCTGATGATATAACTTTGCACACTTTCGTCGTGACGCTGTCTCGTTTCGCGTAGCTGGTCTTGTTGTTCTCTAACGGAATCTTGGGTGGCTATGTTTCGTCGTAGGGCATCGTACAGGTGTCCGTATTCGTTTATCGCTATATTGCAGATGGCCATTGCGACTTTACCCGTAATTTTCCCGATTTTGATCATTTTTAGTAGTAGCGTGGGTTCGCTACACATGGCTCGCATTTCACGTACTTCGCGTATGAATTCTTCTACTTCGATATCGTCTTCACCGTTTAATTGTGGAATACATGCTATCGCGTCTTTGGCCCGGTATTGCGGTAGACGGTCTTCGTAAGAGGGATGGTTGTCCGCTTCTGTTCGAATCGGAACGCATGGTGGGGAAGTTCTATCTCTCGCGGCAACAGATTCGTCCATAGTAATAAGGGAGCCTAGTTCTGTAGTAGCGTCGCGTCCTATTTTTATTTTGGAGATATTTTTGCCTAATAGTTCTATTTCCGCTGCACGCTTCTTATTTTCACTGTCGGCTGTCCGTTGTGTCTCTTCTATACATTGCGCAAGAAGTTCAATTTGTTTTTGTATCGCGTCGAGTATGGTAGCTCTGGTTGTAGAAACGGTTTCAATAGTTTCGATTTTGTCTTTTCGTGATGTGGACATGATTCTAATTGAGCTTATTGATTCTGAACTATTGTTGCTATTTGGACTCGAAACGCTTGAGAAACTTGGTTTTCTCACACGGTAACGTAAAAATGAATCCAGATTTTCAGCTTACCGGAGTAGCTATGACCGTTGAGGAGTCTCTGGGATGTTTCCTCTCTGGTTGGTTCTAGATTCCGAATCTTATTCGTAGGCTTGCTCTGCGCTGAC